ATATATATATATATATATATATATATATATATATATATATTCTTTTAGAAACTCTTTAATATCTTTTTAGAGATTAGATTTTATTTTGTATTTGGGCATTTTATTTCACTTTCATCCTTTTGGGTCGATGACGAGACCTCCAAGTTGTTATACGTCAAATTATTGATGGAAACGACAAGTTCGAGACCACTTTCTTTCTCGTTTTCATTTTCGACCATTTTCATCTTTGTTTATTTTCACCGTTTTTTGGTCGATGACGACACTTCCGTAATCCATTACCAGTCAAATTATTGATGAATAATGTTGGATCCAAGACCACCTCCTTTCTCTCCTCATTTCTTCTTCTCTTTCAATTTTAGTTTGACTTTCCTCGATCGATGAAGTCTTGTATCCGTAAGCGTCGGATTTGTCAGAGTTGATAACCTTCCTGATTTCAAATCTATGGAAAATGACCATTTGGGTCATTTTTTCTACTTTGGGATCGCGATAGGCTACCTTCGATTAATCGACATTATGTTTGCGATTAACAGGAGATCCCACTGCTTTTTGGTCCGTGCGACACAATTAAATCAGAGAATAATCTTCAATATCATTTCTCTATCTTATCCTTAGCACGGATATCAATCACACAACCTCCTATAGTTTGACTTCCCTTATAAGTCGAGCTACGATGGTTTAGCGTCACATTGGTCCCGATTCGATTCACTTACCCTTTTGAACCGTATTTCAAAATATCATCACCAAGGATCAAATAGGAGATTAGAAGCTTGGAAATGAAGCTTGCACGCAATTTTAAGGGTCAACGGAACCACTCTATTCGTTAACTTTCCTTACTTCAATCTTTTAATCAACCATGTTGAGTGTTGTGAGCTGTAAGCGTTAGATACGTAGGAAATGATAAGTGGGGAGCCTCTCCTTTCTCGTATAGAGTGTTTAGCATATGCCCTTTGAGCGATATGCGACACATTCGCTCCTACGTCTTAGGATTTAGTGTGTGCGTCCCAATTCATTTAATTCCTTCCCATTTAGGAGTTCCAGGCCTAGGACCCTTTTCTCTCACCTTCGTGCGATTGAGATCCCTTTTCTCTCGCATCCTTGCGATTGAGACCCTTTTTCTCTCGCACCATGTGATCGAGACTGTTTTTTCCGTAGTTGGCTGAACTATGGCTGCTCTAATTTTTCATACCAGATGAGAATACGTAGGCATAGGATTGTGATAATTCTAGAGAGAATTTTTCCTTCTTTCCCACCTTTAGGATTCCATACCTTTTAACCCAAGGACATGCTACGTTCTACCGCAAACAGGTAACGCCTAAGTCTCCAATGGTCGAGCAGTAATACACCTAATGTTAGAATGCATACGTTAGTGTCGCGGTGAAATTTGGATACCAAACTATTGATTAGTTTGAATCTTATTCATTTGCAACCGAACTTTGATTTGTCCAAAGGAAGGGATAAGGATCGAAATTCCCACAATGCAATGCACATGCAAACTAGAGAGTTTAGGTTCGGGGTTGGTTAAACTTAGGGAAGGTGCTAGCATCCTAAGTTTCTGTAGTACCCTACAGGAACCTCTTGTTTTATGTTCGTTTATTTGCTAAGGTACATCTGCTTAAGGATAAAAGACCTAGGGGTTTATATCTAAGTATACTCGATAAGATATCGCATCTTATGCCTACATATCCTTACGGGAGTGGAATCAGAGTATCTGTAGTTCCCCTAAAGGGTTTGAGGATTTCTTTGACTGTGGTCAAAGTTCCTACGGGTTTAGGGTAGTTGATTGATTGATTTTAGGATAAAAGATGAGTTGTCATCTTAAGGGAGATTACTTGATTTAAACCACCACAACGTTGTAGGAAAATAGTCTTTGCATCGTCTTAAGAGAAGGGTTCAAGTACTCGGATTGTCAACAAGTACGCCTCTATCTCTCTTAAGGTAAAGTCCCTACGAATTGATTGATTGAATTGTTATGGGGTAAGAGTTTTATCTCGCTTAAGATGATTAACATCTTATTCTCTAATGTTTTTGAAAGAGTTTGAATTGAGTTGAATGTTTGCTTCTATGTTGTAAAAAGGTCCTTCCTATGGGGTAGGATATGTCCTAAAAGATCGACTTGAATGGGATCAAGGATCATAGGGGAATATTATGCAAATGATGTGATACACACAAGTGTTAAGTTATGTGTAGGTTCTTCCTTTGAACGAAATGCGATGCAAGAAAGATAAATATGATAATTGTAAATTGCGGAAAGAAATAAAAGCGGATAAAGTAAACATACGCATGAAAGCGCTAAGTGAGTGTGTGAATTGTGTATGTGAATGTGCGGATACAGAAGCGAACGTGCACAATTAAGTTGACGGGAGATTAATTTTAGGCGAGATTTACTTGAGGAAATGGTTATCCATCTTAATTGAGATTAATTTAAAAGAAATTATATTAAAGGGTGACTTAGTTTTTTATTAATTTAGTGAGGAGTTTAGATGACGAATTAATTTTAAGAAAAAAAGATTATTTGATTATTATGAGAAAATTATATTATTAATTACACTAGGTGAATATTAGTTATAGGAAAAAAGTTGAGTTTTTATGAATTGATTTTAAGAAAAAAAAGTTATATTAGTTTTTAAGTAGATTTCTAATTAAGATAATGATTTATTAAATAAGGCGAATTTTGAGAAAAAAGTTTTTTAGTTATTATTATTAAATAAAAAGTTCATTAAATTTGAAAATATGCTTTTAATTCTATTCTATTATTTAGAAAATGAATAAATTATATCTAATAAAATAATTACTAAATTGTTGGAATAAAAAGAGTAGTGAAGTGGATAAAATCAAATTATTAAATGATAGATTAATGAAATAGGTTAATTAAATAAAAGGGAAGTTGATTAAAATGGACTATTAATTACTTAATTTTAAAAAGCTGATGATTAATTACTAAATAAATATTAAGTAAAAAAAAGATTAGATTAAGTTAATTGGTTGAATTAATTAATGACAGATTAAAAGCCTTAAGGTGGTTAATTAAAAGCATATTTAGGAATAAGGGTTTAATTAAAATGTTGATTAGTGATTAATTGGTTAATTATATGGATTAAAAACTGATTGAAGGTTAGGTGTGTGGTTGGGTGTGGTGAAGGCGTATGGGTTACGGTGGGTGAGCAGGTGTGAGGCGTATGATGTAGATCCGTTGGAGATCGTGTGAGGTGCATAATATGTGTGTGTGTGCTCAATGATATATGATTACAACAAAAATAAAAAAAATAAAAAGAACAAAACCCTAATTCCCCCAAATTGACCCCCAATGCGATCTTCTCCTCTCGATCATCTTCTCTCTGCTTCTGCAATTCTCTCTCGATCTTGCGTATCGCCCTTCACGCCGTCCTCCTTGTCTTCTTCTTCGGTCCTTCTCTTCTTCTTCCGTCTTGTTCTTCGAAGAAACCTAGAAAAACAAACCACACAAAAAGCAAACTTCAATCACGAAAATGAAAGAAAAATCCTTTGAGGAAAGCCGATACCCAATATGACGATGACGATGGCTTCGTCGGTGATTTGAAATGGTTTCACGGTGAGCGGCTGAGGTTTCCGGCAATGGGCTTGCGAAAGGGGCTCCTGGCGATGGTGCGAGGGTTTTGAAGATTCGACAACGATGATGGTGAAAGTGATCTCGCGTTGGGTAGAAAAGATAAGCTCTCTCACTCTTCTGATTTTCGAGTTTAAGGTTTGATTTGGGATTTTATGGAATTATTTATTGTTGTGAATCTCTCCTTTTTCGATTCACTGCACTAGGGTTTTTTTCTTTGAGAATTTTCCCCCTTCTTTTATAGGCTTTTGAGATCAAACTATGATATTGACAATGAATGAGTAGGATTTCGGTTTTGGAAAGGAATTAAAATGCTTGATATGATTTCTTATTGGTTTTGGACAGTAAAACAATCTTTTGAAACGTTTCTGCCTTTAGATTATTCTTGTCTGAAACGTGCTTGTCAATTGTTTTGGAAATATCATGAAATTTATTTGGACTTGATGATGGCTCTTGATTGCTTCTTCCTTCTTTCATACAGGTTTTACTAGAGTTACCCGAGTATGCAGTGTTCTTAATGAGAAATTCACCGCTTGATGAAGGGTCAGGAAAGAATCCATGACTGCCTGAGTTCTTCAATCTTTGTGCGGCCTTTGTAATTATCAGATGAGCTTTCTGTACACTCTTTATCACCAGCTGTAATCAAGACATTTGCTTCACAAGACAAGCATTCAAAATTCTTTTCAGGGGCCCTAACAACATCTGATGACTTCTTCTCAGTAGCCTTTCTGAGATTCTCTATCAGTGTCGAACTAAAGGTCTACTGACTGCTTTTGTCCTGTTACTTAATTTGATGTGAATTTTCTTTTCAAATCCAACTTAATTCCTCTGTTGTTTTTACCACAGGCTGATATTCGTGGTTTAAATCCTTGCCCTGTTTTGTTATCTCGCATAATTCATGGTTTTATAATTAATTTGATCATGTTTTGCCCATTATTTGAATTGACTCAATGACTTACTAAATTCATTCACTTTTCTTATCAGGTTATAAAGGAATCAAACTGACAAGCTGCAGCTGTATTCACTTATTCAAATCAACCTCCCTCGAAACGTTGTTTTGGCGATGACGGCTATGGGCGGAATCGGATTAGGCCGGCAATTGGTATGTTGTTGCACTGACAATGTCAGCAGTGTGCCCATTTTATTTTCCAAAAACCTTCTACGGCCGCCACAGCTGAAAAAGCCCAACAACTTTATTCCTTGATCCTTAACGTCGGTCACCGCTCTGCTTTCTCTCCAGTCTGAGTTTGTGGGAAAATCATAATCCATCAAATTGAAGATTACTGTGTTATATATTATTTCAGGGAAAGAGATGTTGCTTATAATAAAGTTTCTAGTATATGAAGAGTAAAACTCTTCATCTGTTAAATCAGAATATGGATTTAACCCCATTGTGTAACTCTTGTTTCCTTCATTATTAAACTTCTGTATTTTTTCTAAATTCTCTTTGAAAAATCTGTAAGCGTTTCTCCATCTCAGAACTATTTGTGTATGTGATTCCATACTTGATCATCCATTCCTGGTGTGCTTTAACAACAGATGATTCATCCAACATTCTAGACAGACATGGGTATGCATATGCCCACAAGACAATGATGCGAACATTAATAACATGCTTCATAATTTTTAGTTTATGAATAGATATAGAACAAAATGTTTTATGAAAGATGATTGATGTGTTTAGCACTGTCAAATATTTAGTTAGGCTGTACTTGTGAGAAGTCATAGTGATGTCTGACTTCAAGTGATCTGAAATGTGTAACTTCAATTGCTGCTTCTTTTAAATAAATACTCAATATGAATTCTTCCAAACTCACTGGGAAAATCTGGATAAGCCATTAAGGCTTAGATCATTAGCTTTATATGTCATAACAGGTATTGGTTTCCTGTTTTGGATTCTTCCTCGAGAGAATTGCTTTTGATTGTATAGGCATATAAAGAACACGTGAAAACATTGGATGCGATGCTCTTTTACTTTCAAATCAGACGATGTACCTCTTTAACACATAGAAAGTAATAATTCATTGCAAAAAAAGTGGCCATTTCTTTATCTATCCAAAAATTGAAATAGAATCGTTAAGAGTTTTAAACCATCTCGGACGAGTTTGAACAAAGAATCGCTTAGACCCACGCTCCGTATTCAACTTTAAAATCCTTGGTACACGATAACTATTCTTAGAAATTCAATCCATAGGTCTTTTCCCATAAAGGAAACGTCTCAAAAAAAAATTCTATGATGAAATAGAGTTGGAATGTATTGGGACTTGGCGAAATCCATTATTGACCAATATGTGCTCTTGTACAAAAGATAAACAATCCTAATTACGCGGTCCTTCAGTAATGATGCAAACAAATCCAACCATCTTTTCGTTAACCGCCTTAGGATAGCACGACCCTCTTTAACTCAGGAGCAAAAATGAGGGAGCCCTAATGTTCATGACCCTTAAAACAAAGTTCACAGGTTGTGTCTTAGTGGTGCTTGATTAAAAGAAACAGCATCTGTGCAAACTGGTTAATGATAATAAAACACACAAAAACAACAGAAAATAAATAAATAAAGGGAGTGGGATCTTAGGGTCAAAAAATAGGGTGCAACAGATGCCCCTATTTAAGTTTCTTCTATCTGGATGCCACCGAATGCATATTGTTGCACCCTAAAATTTGCTCAACCTACTTCACTTGGTTTATGTTTCAATTGCAGTAGCATTTGCATATAAAGTCATGTACATAGTCTAATCATCTGCATAGCATAGCATAGCAAGTTATCCAACAAGGGACCAAGTACTATTCTCATCTCTATGAGTCTATTAAGAGATTATGGTTCAAATTCAGGCCTATCCAAGTCATCAGGAAGAAATTGAAACCTAGAGAAGTCATTGGACCAAGCAGTGGATCTATCTCCTATCTGAGGGTATTTGAAGACCATCAAAGAAGTTGTGAGCTGTGAACTGAGTATGGAGGGTATCTGGACATCATGGAGGACCTAGAGGGTCATTTTTAAAGAGAGACAAGTCATTGATGTGATCACAAGAGTTGCAGTTGAAGACAGTCAACTAGGGTTTCATCTGGGTCAACCCTAGGTCAAATGATTGATTGAAAGGCATTAAGGTCTATTTGAGAGATGTGGGGTTCATCATTTGACATGTAGATATGGATGTGGTGTTGTGCCAAGGAGAAATCAAGAGAAATCAAGAAGAAGAGGAGTTTCTAAATTAGGGTTTCTGTGTAAAATCCCCTGATTTAGGTCAAACTTCCAAGCAAGATAATTCAAAATGCAAGCTTCAAATGGATCCTTGGCCAACATGAAACTTGTGTAGGATCTCAATAACTTTAATTTGAGTGGTGGAAGACATCAAGGAGATTTATAGAACTCAAGTTATGGTCCTTGCAAGTTACAGGTCATCTGGGGCCTCTGAAATTTTGTCTGTGAAAGTTACTTGCCTTCCAAGCAACTTTTATCCCTCAAGGAGATTTCAAATGGATTTCTGGTCAAAATGAGAGTTGTTCCTCATTGTCTTAGCTTTCTATAAAGGTATGGTATCCCTTCATCTGATTTGTGGAACTCTACTTATGACCTTGGCAAGCAAAGGGTATTTTGGTCATTTGAGAATTACAGGTCATTTCAAGCCTATGCCCAAAACTCATACAAGGAAGCTTCAAATGAAAAACTTCACAACATAAAACTTGCTCCAAATGACATTTTGAGTCTAGAAAAGTGATCATGAAAGTTTGGAAACGTTCATAGCTCAAGGTTCCAAATTTGGTCATTTAAAAGATGAATTTAATGAATAAAAGTGACCTAAAAATGAGATTTTTCATACCATGTCCAAATGGGATGAAATTATAGGTCATTTTGATTGGAAAGAATGTTTTGAGATGATTGGCAAAAGTATATTTTTGAGTTTAGTTCAAAGTTTGGAAGTTATACTAGTTGGCTTACAAAAGAAGTAACACATGCCAAAATTCAAGGGATCTATGCACAAGAGGTTTCTAGCAAGTTCTAGATGTTTCCATAGGCATCTATATAAACCCTAGAGCTGATCCATGAAGGGGTTGCACTTCATTTTGATCAAAAACACCAAGTTTCACTCCATTCTTCAATCTTGCAAATTCATTCCAAACTCTATCAAATCTTCATCATTTTCCAAAATTCTTGATCCTATCATCATCTATATTCATCATAGAGCAAGTTTCCATTAAGATCTGTTTGAATTGAAGTGGAATTCATGCTATCCAAGTGTATCATCCAAATTGCAAAAGGAAGTGGTTACAAGAATCCAAGGGGTTTGAGCAAGAACTACTGCATACAGAATCAAGATCTTGGTCTATTGATTGCCATTGGAGCATTGCTGAGCTTGAAGTGGTGATTTCATCCCTCTGTTTTCAACTTTAAATCAGGTTAGTATTTCCATCGAATTGGCCAGAAATAGTTAGCATGTTGTAGAATCTTTAGGTTAGAATTGTTAGGAATAGGTAGATGATTGATTCTGATGAATTTGAGGGCATTTCATGGAGTTCACCATTGGAGCACCAAAACTGTTGAGCCTTAGAACACTTAGGTTAGGGCATGTTAATCTTAGCTAGATAGATTAGATTGATCAGCATAGCATGTAGAACGCATTAGTGTAAGAGTTAGCAAGAATCAGCAGGGTTGATCTCAGTGTAAAATGGTGGGACCAAGGTCTTCTACCTATCGGGTTTGGCTCTAGATGGAGTTTTGGAGAAAACTGAGTCCATGGTTGTGTAGAGGAGAAGAAGTAGAGCAATTTTGCTTTTTACGGGTATGAGTTTCATGGAGAATTGAGGTTGTATGAGGATGTTGAAAACTAGTTCGTGCGAGCTTGCTCAGGTCTCATTAATGGTGGAAACCCTAGCTCTTTGGAGAAGAAGCATGAGGATCGTTGGATCCTTCATAAGACTTTGACTGAGTAACTGATCTAACGGCCACGATTTAAAACTGAAACGCGAGGGAATTCTGAATACCAAAGCGCACCGTTTCATTTAAAACACTCTGCTGGGCTTAGTGCACTCATGCTATTCGCACCCCTAAGCGCCAAGGCCCAAACCAATTGAACTAATTCATTTGCTATTCACACCGTTTTCTTTTTTATTTTTCTTTTTATGTTTTCTGATCAGTTGGGACCAGACGCGCCTTGCTATGCGCACCCCCAGTCTGCGCCCATTGTCCATTTTTCAATGCTTTTAATTGCTGACTGCACCCTTAACCATTTAATTCATTTTAATTTCATTCAATTTTTTTTTATTTCTTTGAAAAATCATAACAAATTGGAAATTTCATATTTTTAAATGGTTGTTTTTGCATCTTTTTCATATTTCTGTTAAGAAAATTGTCATGTAATAAAATTAGCCTTTTATTTTATTTTTGCATTTTTAGTATATTTTTCTTTTTAATAGGTTTAAATGATGTTTAGTTTAACACTTGATATTGTTGATTTTAGTTTAGCTAGACCCTTGTATATTTTGGACCCATTCTTTTTAGAGTACTTCATTTAGGACTTTAATTTTCATATGAGATTTAATTCTGGATTTTAGGATTTAATTTTAGATGGTTTGATTAGGTGTGATTAGGAGAATCAAAACTAGGGTTTAGATATAACATAAGTGTAATAAATCATTTCTTTTAGGAGTTGTAGTTTGAATTTTGGGGTATGGGACTATAGGGGTATTATAGGTAACTAATAGATCGCTTAGAAAATATTAGGCTTCCCCTATTCTACTATTACTATTAGTGTATTGCTTGTATTTGATTGACTGTGTGGTGTGCCCTCTCTAGGGTTATTATTTGACTGTGTGGGGTATTGGGCCTGCTTGGGGTTAGGGTTTGAGCTGAAGACTGTGCTGATGAAGCCCATTGAAGACAAAAGAGAATGAAGACCAATTTCCAGAGTTGATGAGGAGTATCTCTTGCTGACAGCTGTTGAAGGTCATAGTATCTAGGAGTTAGGCAGAGCTCTAGAATAGCAATTTGATTCACAAACATGGAAGGTCTTGTTTGCCTTCATCCCTCTCTATGATGCAGAGTCTCTCTAGGACACTCACCCCCTTCCTTTGGAAGGCTTGGTGATAGTGTCTAAGAGATAGAACTCTTGAGAGAAACATTCTATGTGTTGTTAGCAGTCTGTTTGCCACCTTTGGTGGTCAACTAACTGGTTAACACCCAGTTCATCCTCTGGATTGGTTCCTCATCTTGGAGATTGAGACTTGAAGAAAAGCCCTGAAAGACTGATGATAGAGATCTTGCTTGAAGGCTTGAAGATGAATACTGATGCTAGTTTGAAGCTTGCAGATGGTTGAAGATGACTTGAAGACAGATGTTGGTGCAGAGCTGCTGTTGGCTGTTTATTTTTGTTGTTTATAATTTTTGATGTATTGTTTGAATTTCCCTGACTGTATTGTTTGCCATTGACCTGTTAGGTTGAAAGCGAATTTTGTTCGCTTTTGCCTGTTGTTTTCTAGGTTCGAGGTTGAGTGGGACTCCCTTGCCTCGCTTGTATTGCCGCATCCATGCATTTTACTGCTTTATTGTATATATGCTATTGTTTTTGTTTCCGTCTATTCCCTTAGGATCTCTGTTTCTCTCTGTGCAAGAGAGGAGCATGA